TCACCTAATATGTACATGAGTGATGTGACAACTCACATTGTGGTACATGCACTTCTGCAAATGCCCATCCATTTCCTTTAGATCCTCAACATGCATCCACACAGCAAAATTTGTATGTGACCCTATTTTTTTTCATAACACCGCAAAGCATCACTGAAGACGTGTCTACTGGTGAGTGCTAGTGCATTGAGGGCCAAATATAAACTAAAGTGCATGCCCCAAAAATGCATGCACAACTCATACGTGCAACTTGCATCATCATGCATTGAATTGTAGCCTGAACCGTATGGATTAACTATGATGGCCATGTGAAGCCTTGCGAAATTCTGCTAATCTTGTATTAGCAACCAATGAGCAAAAATATGGAAAGCTGCAAGTTTCGTCCTTGAAAATAATATACTGCACTTTTTTTCTGTATTAGGAATCTGCCGTTGTTTTCTTCATGGCCTCCAGAGAAGATAAACCTTCTTGCTCATTGCTCTCTCCGAAGAAATCACAGGTCAGATATGACAATGCAAAAATGTTCTTGTCATCTATCAGTATTTTAATACATTTTTTTTCTAAGGAGTACAGACATGTTTAAAACAATAGAAAACATTGGAGTCCTTTTATGAAACTGAGATCAGTGGTGATCCTAAGGATCGTTGCTGATCTCAGATCATTAGTGGTTTAGGAAACAAAGATGATCAGAGGAGAACATGTTCTCTGCTGATCATCTCAGCACACAGAGAATCTGTCAGAAACGGCCAGTGTATGAAGGAGCGATGTCAGCCCTTCACTGGCGATCTGTGTGAAAATTCTCCCTCCATATTCTCCAGCCCAGAGGTGGAGAATCGGGGGAGCCGTTATTTACCGCTGCTTAGTAAACTGTGTGTTTGACTGATCTCTTACTGTCATCTCGGGAGATTATGGTAACAGCAGCCCTTTTCTAGCGTTCAAAGCATTTGTAGATCACTTCTTCCTCATTAGGAGAAACAATCTACACGGCTTCATGAACAGACATTCAGAGGAGAACTGTCTCCTTTGGGAATGCCAGAGAACTGAGCAGCGGTCATTTACTGCTGCATGATAAAAGGACACCATAGACAGGCTTTGTGTATTTTTATCTTACACTAACACCTGTATAAAAGAACTCTGTGAATTCTGTGTATCATCATTACTCATTTATGCAAACGTCAGCAGAGGGCATTGTGTTAAATATTTGAAGAGAGGATAACATTTTACGGCCGGTTCACCCCATAGAAACGCAGTACAGATGCGTTCCAAATGCGTTTCTGCATGTGCTTTTTTGACATGTTTTTGGAGCAATCCGATGCATTTTTTACATGGTCTGTTGCGTTTTTGATGCTTTTTCGATGCATTGCAGTGCATTTTTGATGTTTTCCGGTCCTTTTCTTAAAGTTAAATGGAGACATATGCCTTCCAGTGCGTTTTTGATGAATTTTACTACATTCCAGTACAGTTTTGTGCTGGAAAAATGCAGCCTGTTCTAGTTTTTTTTCTGCAATTGGAATGCACTGGAACTGCAAGCAATGATATTAACTATGACATTGACAACCATATAACCTACTTTCTGTGCATTTTGGATGCAGAAAAAAAGCAACTGAAACGCATGTAGTGTAAACTGGCCCTTAAAACAAAGGTCAAAATAAAAAAATAAAAGTCAACAGCTACAAAAACTGTAGCTGCTGACTTTTAAAAAACAGCCACTCACCTGTCCCTGTTCCCAGCCCCAACATCTTCAGTGTAGGCACCCTGCTGAGACAGCTTGCAGCTTCACAGCCAGGTGCCCACTGCGCATGCGCGAGTAGTGCTGCGCTTTGTGAATGGTCCTGTAATCTTCTGGGACCTATCACCTGTCCCAGAAGACTACGGGGGGGGGGGGGGGAGGTGAGGGGGAGGACAACTTCTACTTCTGATTGCCTAGGCGATTGCAGCAGAAGTGGGATTGGGTACCCCCCCCTCCCTAAAGGTGCCTTATTCTTCATCCTCCTTAATGGGCAGCGGGGGACGAAGCCTTAAAGTGGGACTTCTCTTTTGGGTGGAGCTCTGCTTTAATGTGTCATTAAAATACCAGCAGTGGTTGTGTGGTGCACAGAAGCCCTAGAAAAAAATAAAAGGCTATTTTATAAATAAATAAACCATACAATGATCAGAGAAACATATCATTTAAAAACAACTACATACCGCAGGGTTGCTCAACCACTGGCTCGCAGGCCACATGTGGCCCTCGGAGCCCTCTGATGTGGCCCCCAACCTCAAACCAGGGAAGCACACTTCTGTTATATCCTGCAGGTTTGGTGAGCTTTCTGAAAGTTGCAGGAGTTTTAATGCACTTTCAAAAAGTGTACCACATCTGCAAGATATAATAGAAGTCTATGGCAAAGGGCAATAAGGGCTTGTTTACATTTGTAGTTTTGGGGTGGTAAAACCCCATAGTTGAGACATGTTTTTACCACACACACCCAACCCTGCCCCATGTTCTAGGGGGCCTGTGTGGCCTCCCTGACACCTTCTAATTTACACTTGAGCAGGAGGGGTAGCAGGGATGGCATATACAGGAACCTCTCCATTTTCATCCTGCAACTGCGGAAAGCTGGCTTTTCCTTCTCTTCCTCCCGCTGGTATTCAGAGGCTGCAAGAGGAAAATGCTCATTATGCTATTCAGAAATAAAAAATTCTAAATTCTGAACCATTTAATTTCATTGTGGCCTGCGACCAGTTACCAAATCAGTAAAGTGGCCCTCGCTCTTGAAAAGGGTGAGCACCCCTGACATACAGCATTCCCTATCTATGGAGTGAGGATGGGACAAAATTATTTAAGGCAAACAAACATAAAATGCATTTGCAACATGATAGTGAGGCTCTGGCACACAGGTGTAGGTGTTCTGGCATTTTTTTTTTACTGATGTGAATGCTGCCCATTGCTTTCAGTGAGCCTATACACACGAGCATGTAAACTTCTGTAAGCTCTTTAATTGTAGATCATATCTGGATCAACTGTGGGTGCAGGACTCTGTATATGGAGTTTTATTTATTTTTTCTGTTTATTTTTTTTTTTAGTTGAACTAGATGAACTAGTGTCTTTTTTTATTATTATTATAAAGTATTTATATAGTGCCAACAGTTTGCACAGCGCTGTAACCTATGTTACATTTTTAACCTATGAAGCTATGAATTTTTGGCATTCTGGGAGCAAGAAGAATTTTTATGTGCACATAAACGCATGTAAATGTGCGTACTATACATGCAATACTCTCAATTTTTTGAATAGTAACTTACTGCCATGAAGATCCAGCATTTATTCATCAGTATAAACTGTATATTTTCAGCTCCCTTTGGCTCTCATGTTTTTAAATAAAAAATGTTATGATAATTATGAACTCACCATATCATTGCCGGAGGAAGAGTTAGGAGGAAAATACCCCAGAGAACAAAGATAGGGAGCCATGTGAGAGACAGTTTTTATAGTGATTAATGAGAAAAAACAATTGTGCTTATATTAGTGGGCAGCACAGTGGCTAAATGGTTAGCACTTCTGCCTGGCAGTACTCAGGTCATCGGTTCGAATCCCAACCATGGCACCACCTACCTGGAGTTTGCATGTTCTCCCTGTGCCTGTGTGGGTTTTCTCCCACACTCTAAAGACATGCTGGTAGGTTAATTGGCTCCTGTCTAAATTGGCCCTTGTATGTGTATGTATGAATGTAAGTTTAGGGACCTTAGATTGTACACCCCTTGAGGGTTAGGAACTGATATGAATGTATAATATATATATGTAAAGCGCTGCGTAAATCGAGGGCGCTATATAAGTACCTGAAATATATAAAATAAACTTACACAGGAATAGTTTTTTTTTTTATATTTGGCTTTTACAAAATTTCTACAAAGGTGCATGCCATTATTTAAAATTCTCAGATACTAAGAAACAAACATTCCTCGTATGATGCTGGTGCTGGTATGGGACAGACACTAAGGTAGGGTTGATTTACCAAAGGAAGACAGGTTGGTGTCCTAGCAAAGTGCATGTTAGTGATAGAGGTGAAACTGTATGTACCATTGATTCTCCAATCACGTACAAGGCAAATAAAACAAACAAACAAAAAAAAAGATTTATAGAAGCGCCTGATTGAATATAAACAGTGACCACAGCTTTACCTTATTCACTAACATTCCCTTGTAAAATGAGCATTCATTCTGTAAAGTGAACCGTCAATTTAGGTGAGCAACCTCTATTTCTTTGATAAATCAAACCATTGAATAAACACTTAGAGGCAGATTTGGTGTACAATGGTTGTATTTAACCGCTTTAGGACCGCCTTGCAACAGATATACTGTGTGCAAAATCACGTGTATATATATGTGATTTAGCATTTCCGGGTAGGAGGTGCACGAGCCACGCACTGCCATTCGCAGCTGCGGATGTCAATCACTGGGTCCCCGCTGGCGCCCGGTGATTACCGAGCATCTCCGACAGGGAGGAAGATTGTTTTGTTTATAAACAATCTTCCTCCCTGTCAGCTCAAGCACACTGCTCTGGATGGCTGTGCACAGTATAGCCACCCCGATCAGTGTGCTTACACAGAAGAATACACCCCCTAGTTAAACACTCCCAGCACATAGTTAACCCTTTGACCACCCCTCACATTAACCCCTTCCTGCCCAGTGCCATTAGTACAGAGTCAGTACTTTTTTTTTTTCAGCACTGATCACTGTATTGGTGTCACTGGAGATGTCAGTGACACCAAGTTAGTTCCCCCCCCCAGTATCAGAATGTCCGTCGCAGTCCTGCTAAAAGTCACTGATCGCCGCCATTACTAGTAGAAAAAAAAAATCCCATTATCTATACCGCCATTTGTAAACACTATTACTTTCACGTAAACCAATTGATTTACATGTATTGGGATTTTTTTTTAGCAAAGACATGTAGCAGAATACATTTTGGCCTAAATTTATGACGAAATTTAATTTTTTAAATTTTTTTTACTGGACACATGTAGCCTCCCTGGCGGTATTCCCGAGTGTAGCTCGTGGTAAAGTTTCAGTACCACAAGCGGTATCCCCGAGCTATACTCGGGCTTACCATGTGGCGCGCTGCTCCGCGATCCCTTGATCACTTACCTTGTCCTGCGCTCCCGCGATGTCCCTCCTGCAGTGTCCCCAGCAATGTAATCCGGCGGATGCCGGCATCTGTCATCTGGGTTCCGTCCCCTGCGAGCGTCGGGACGTATGGGGTACGGGGAACGGCGGGAAATTTGAAAATGACAAAAAGTGACATTCACTAAAATCACTAAAATCTCATAGTATAACATTACTGTATACATTTTGTCCCTAGTGCTTTGTCCTGTGCCCTGCCTGCATTTTTACTGTTCTTTCTGCCTGGAAACTGAGAAATGTCCATGGCGTCCAAAAAGCGTCCCTTTAGGTCAAAAGCGGTTTTAGACCAGCTAGAGAACAGCGATAGTAAATCAGAACCACTTGCAGAATTGAGTGATAATGATTTGTGGGGAAATTCGTCATCAGACACTGAAAACGATTCTGCGACTTTGCTCAGTGATGCGCTATATTTCAAATTTCAGTGTTTTTGGTTTGATTATATTATTGAATTAAATTTATTATTATATTATTATTTTTTATGATTATTTATTAAATTATAATTTATGATTTCGTGTTTCAAGTTTTATCATACCTGGGATGTTTACTAGACTCTTGTTCGGACAGATTTCAGTGAGTTATTCCTAAAAATTACAGGCCTACAATATAAAAACGCCAAACTTCCAGGCAAAATAATGGTACCGCTTTCAGCACAAAAAATCTGAAATAATCATACCGCCAGGGAGGTTAATAGCAAAAAGTCCAAAATATTGTTTTTTTTTTTCTCAAAATTGTTAGTCTTTTTTATGTTTATAGTGCAAAAAATAAAAAAACACACAGGCAATGCTAAAAAAAGCCCAATACGTGTAAATTAATTGGTTTACATGAAAGTTATAGCATCTGCAAATGGCGGTAAATATACTGAAATTTTTTCTATACTAGTAATGGTTGTCATCAGCGACTTATAGCGGGACTGCGGTGGGCATTCTGACACTGGGGGGGAACTGACTGTCACTGACATCCCCAGTGACACCAGTACAGTGATCAGTGCTAATCCTGGCCCTCCACCACCTCCCTCACCCACACAACACCCTCCCGCCTCCACGTCCTGCCGCAACTTAGTATCTGTCCCCCTGCTCTCTAAAATCTCCCCCCCATTTTCATGTGCACTCCTGAACACCCGATCGGTGTGCAACAAGCTTGCCGCCATCCACGACCTCTTTGTTTCCTGCTCCCTCAACCTCCTAGCAATTACGGAAACCTGGATCCAGGCCACTGACTCTACCTCCCCTGCTGCACTCTCCTACGGAGGTCTCACCTGGACCCACTCACCCAGGCCCAACGGTCGTAAAGGTGGTGGGGTTGGTCTGCTCCTGTCACCACAGAGCACCTTCCGAGTCCTCCCAAACCCCCCCTCTCTATCCTTCTCCTCCTTCGAGGCCCACTGCGTCCGACTATTCTCCCCAACCCCCCTAAAGATTGCTGTGATATACCGGCCTCCTGGATCCATATCACGCTTCCTGGATGACTTTTCCTCCTGGCTACCCTTCTTCCCCTCTTCTGAGCTACCCACCATCATCCTTGGGGATTTCAACATCCCTGTCAACCTCGACAACCCAGACACATCCCATCTCCTCCACTTAACCTCCTCCTTTGCACTTGCACAGTGCATACAATCCACCACCCACTCCAACGGTAATATCCTTGATCTCGTCTTCTCCAACCGCTGCGCTCCCCACAACCTCACTAACACCCCCTTCCCTCTCTCTGACCACAACCTGATTACCTTCTCTATCTCCTCGTCCTCCAACTCCTACCCCTCCAAGTGTCACAATTCTACCAGCCGTAACCTCCGCAACCTTAACCCTGCCCCCCTCCACTCTGCAGCCGATCAACTCCACGACAGCATCCTCCCCCTGCCCTGCCTTGGCTATGACTGCCTACAACAACATGCTGTCAACAGCCCTTGACTCAATAGCGCCTTTAACCACACGCAACATCAGACCCCGACCGCTCCAACCTTGGCAGACTGATCACACCAAAACCCTCAAACGAAAACAGTCGTGCCCTGGAGCGACTATGGCGCAAAACCAAATCCCAACAAGCCTTCACCCACTATATATCTGCCTTCCACACCTACACCTCCTCCCTCCACACAGCCAAACAAGCCTACTTCCTGACCCTCAAGCCGACAGTCCCGAGGAACGTCCTGACATCACATCCACTAGGCCACGCTCTCTACACATTTCGTCACTCGACGACTTCAAGGCGCTTCTTTTTACTATTTCATTCTTATTTTATTATATGGTTTTCTAGTTATTCTTTTCTGTTATATTCTATTGTCTTCTTTTATGTTCTTTTCTATTTTTTTTGTATTCAAATTTGATTCAAATTCAATTCGAATTCATTTGGATTCGGATTAGTTACTAATGTAATTCAGAATTCAAAGACATCTGAATGTCTGAATACCGAAAAATTTGTGCAAATTCGAAACAAACCGAACTGCACGTGTCTATTAAACATTAAAAAAAAAATAGATTTAAACCTCATTATCTGGTATGGGTGTTGGACAGAAAGCTCTTATATCAAGCACTTTGATAACTGGCAATTAGTAGGAGAAATTTAGCCATTTCAGGGGTTTGCTTGATCCACCAATATTGTCTGTAAGTGGGGTGTGGAAAAGGCAGAGTCTAGGACATCTAATGACTCTTTGGGCTGGCTATAACAGTAATGCATACAGGTTTTTAAAGCATCTGACAAGCATCTATCAATGTATGTATAACAACAAATAGCCTTTCAAGCTCTGTAACTGTACCAAGGATGGGAATACAGCTATCCAATCACTTCACTTTCTCTATGGCAGAAGCATACTGGTAATGACACCTTGGAGAGTCCTAGGTTTTCTGATAAGTCTAATTAGCAACTTAAATTAATTAAAAACAGAAGGGTTAGCATTGGTTCTCCAGATGCCAAATACAAATTCTGATGTCTAATTATATGTAAAATTAAATATAAACAGAGCTGTTGTCAATTTGTAGTTTTGCTACATTTCCATTTAATGAACGCTCTTATCAATGTCCGTTTGAGTCTGTCAGTTGTGTGCAGTTTCATACTGAATTATTCAGATACTTTTCCTCTTGTGTTGGCAGTTGCCACTATTTATCTGCCTATTCTATCTACACAATTAACATGGACAGAAAATCTGTATGAAGCTAAGCCCAGTGGGCTTGAAAGTAACAGACTCACTTAATGTGGAACTCAACGTTTCAAGAGAAATTAATTTTTTCTTTACTTTGATGACTAAAATAAACTTGCTACCAACAGCCATCTACACATATAGGTAGTCATGTGGTTTATTAGGTATTATAACTAACCTTTAAAAAAAGACAGTGGTAAGAGAATGCTAGATATAATAATAAGGATGATGGCACAGGCTAGAAGTGACAGAGTTGTTCACTTGGTAAGGAATGGCTAGGGTGGAGTGGTAAGCAGTTTTGAAGAAGTGGGTTTTCTTGTGCTGTTTAAATGTGTGAAATGTGGTAGAAAGCATGAAGAATTCATTTAAGTGCATTAAATGAAGCTATGAATGAGGTAGACACATTTACAGTTAGGTCCATATATATTTGGACACAGGAGGCACAATTTTAGTTTTTTTGCAGGTATTTACCAAAACATATTCAAGCTATAGTTATTCAATGGATATGGGCTGAATGTGCACACTCTCAGGTTTAATTTGAGGGTATGTACATCCAAATTGGAGGAAGGGTTTAGGAATTATAATATAAGACGTTCTCAACGCACTCCATGTCTGAGACTGCAGGCTTTTTACTTGGAGGTGAACTTGAACTGACATAAAATGTTTCCAAGATCACAACAGTGCCGAAAGCATACAGTACATCTTATGGTGCTTGTAAGTACCCGTGTTAATCTTCAAATCAATCTGTGTTCCCATGATGACTTTTGGATTCAAAGTTCTTGATTTATGCCAAATTCTTTGCCCTAGCCATCCTGATATTAACCGCAGTCAGCTCCTACTGCCAACTGCATTTCTGGCATTAGATAGTTGAATGACATCAAGTTTAGATTGAACGGAAGTCCATGCCCCGTGTAGAGCTTGGCTCTAGTATTCAAAGAGCTTCACAAGAACAAATGGATTATTTTGAAGACTAATACAGGTAATTGCATACATTGGTGTCTTCATTGTAGATCTATTCTTCTCCCATCAATGTTTTAGGCCAGTTCTAGTTGAATTTGAATTTAAATATTAATTATTAAAATGTTAAATGTTCAGCTTGGATCTGTTTTACCAATAAAAGATTCGTACCTCTACCTTAGTAACTGTAGATATACAGTTTGTAATGTAAAAAATGATGTACTATTACCAATAAAAGATTAGCTTTTAGTTATATATTTTAGAGAACAAGACTGAAGGTACTGTAATTTGCCACAGCAAAGTTCTTCAGTCACATTATATTCAACTAGACAGAACTATTTTCTTTTGGTGTTGTCAAACGCATATTTAAACCTAAAATAGAAAATTGCATTATGTTCAGCAATAGCTATTAATAATAATCTCATCCTTATGGACAAAAATGTACTTACATGCTGAATATTATGTCCTTGCTTATACTATATATACAAATGATTAGAGAAAAAGATCAATCTATAAATGTATCAATCCCCTATTGTAAAAAAAACCTCCAAAATTGTAAAAAACAGACATTGTGCGCAATCCCGCTGCATTTAAAACCGCACAATATAATAACAAGCATCATAGAGTGTAAATGACTCCAAATACAGCACTATAGCTACAGTATATATATTCCTACTAAGTCATAAGTTAAAAATTTCAAAAGCGTCAATGTGCAAATGACATTAAAAACTCAAACTGCCAAAAAAATATAATACAACTCTTCACAGTGTGATAGGAAACATATACTGTACATATGACAGATAATAGAAATCAAAAGATATCATGTGCATAGTGTTGAAATAAATAAATTGAAATGCAGTACACTAAATATCAGAATACACAATAAACACAAGAATTCAAAATATAGGTGCACTTTTCCTTTTAAATCAATGAAAAGATACCATAATATCAAAACCAATGTGCTTGTGTCAAAAAAGGTCGTAATTAAATTACATACAAGCACAATTTAAAAGTCCATGTCCCTTTACATGTAAAAAAAGTCCATAA